ATTTTTAATATTGTCGTATTATTGTTTTGTACTTTTATTATCATTTCATCCATGACAAAAATTCGACGTTCAATATCGATAAGTTGTGCCCCACTTGAGGAGAAATCCTGGCTCCTCCCCGATGTTTGAGCCACATTATTTTGGAAGAATGTATTTTTGAAAAGTAGATTGATGAAGAATGTGTGGTTGAAAAAGAAGGAAAATTTATTGATGTGATGGAAAATATTATTTTATTGAAAAATGTGTGGTAGAAAATGAGTAGAAGAATAATAATGAAAATTTTAATGTGATTCAAACAGGGACTGGTACTCACTAATTACTCCGACTTATTTTCAACCTCATTGACTTAGCTACTCATGTTTATAAACACTAAAGCAACTTTTATCTCCGTGTTTCGAAAAACTAAAATACTATCAACTTATTCATTACTTATTTTTATTTATTTATAAGTTAAACCATTTATAAATACTTTCTAAATGTACTCTCAATTGCCAAATAGACTATATGAAATGATTCTTTTTGCATATTTCACCCTGAATTTCACACAAAATTTGAGTCAAAATTGCCACATAAGTTTTGACATCAACATGATACATGTAACCTTTTTTAAGAACATAAATGCAAACCTCAAAATCATAACCAGGCTACACACTACATTTATGTAGCTGGCAGCAGTGCCACAGGCCAGCATCAATGGCGGAATCAGACATTTTTCATTGTGGGGGCTAAAACTAAGTTACAACTTTTTAAAAGTTCGAACCTTAATTTGCTTGTTTTTGAGGCATTGCTGTCTTCTCCATTGGGTCCCAAAGCAAACATAGAGGGTTCATTTAAGCTGTTGGAGGCTGATGTATCCATCATTGACCACAGGTTGGGAAAAAGTTACAAAAAGAAAAGCCGAAAATTCAGTGGGTCAATGGCTTCCACATGAACCCATGTGAATCTGCCCACATGCCTAATTTAAGAATCTTCAACCCTTGGTGTTTTTGGCTAAATTAGTATGAAAATCCTCTCTAATCCAACTTCATATTTGACACCAAATTGGTGTAATGAAAAGTGCATCGATTTGGCGCAACAAAGTTCATTTGGTGTAACTTACGGAGTTTTTTTCCTCTTCATTTTATACTACGACAAATTTTGTGAGTGACTAATGCTATCGAATTATCGGAAAAAGTCTTTAATTTGCTTAATAAGTTAAGAGTCAAATTAAGTTATTAAATTTTCTTCTAACAACCCTACTAACCACTCTATTATTTTGCAGGTCAGTTTCTAAGCCGACATCACAAACTTGGAGATTCAATTGTTGGATTATTTCAATTATTACTTTGAAAATATAGAAAAATGGTTATCATTACTCGTTAGTGAAAGTTAGAACTAATATGATTTATTACAAGAGCGATGCTATGGGTACAAGAAAAGTACCCACAGAAGCCGGACAGAATACACACAAACAGGTGGGCCCCGATTTTTTTGGCAATATTTAATTCATATGGATCTGGTTACAAGTTGGTACTAGCCACTTTAAGGATCTAGTTACCTACAAAAAGAGGTTAGGGTTATTTCCCCCATTCGACATCCGACTTGAGAGTAAGTAAATGGAGAGGAATATGATTATAAAATTGAAAGAGCAGTGCATAAGTAAAAATTTCTTAGGAGTTCCTAAGGAAATTCCTAACGCCTTTTGGGATATATTTATAGGTAGTCGATTTTCGTCCATGTGCCTGAACATACACGTTTCATCTGTATGGACATCTTGGTGATTGGAGAGAATATAATGACATTTAATTATTGAGTGAAATTGGATCGCGTGAATAACCATCCGCCTTCGAACATGTTGTCGTTAATCGACTATTTGAAAGAGGGGTTGCCTCACCTCTTGCGGAGGTGGTCGGATGGAGGTGAGATATGATGTTCAATTTTTACTGTCTATCTAATTAATTATTGACACATCATTTTAAATTAACATGTCACCTCAAACTTATTCTCGTTGACTTCACCAATAACCCATCAAATTGATAACATATTAATTTAAACGACGTTTCAATAATTAATTGGGTGGACAGCAGATCTCAACTCGGTCAGACGATTGCCTTCCAGTAGTGACCTTTGTCGCGTCCCCCTACGCCCTAAGAAGGAAACACTAGGCACAATATGCGGTTCATTCTAGTTGACGTTCTTTTATTCCTATGTAATGTCAATATGCGTGATTTCGTAAGTTTGTTTGATGACCTTTATTGATATTAAAATGCGGTGCATCAAACAAAAATTATGATGTGTTGTATCAAATTACCATATTTCCTAACAAGCACTAAATTGTATCAAATACTTGATGTAATATGACCTGATACATTGCACCAAACCTGATACATGCCATGATGAATAAAGAGTTGTACTAATTTACAACTATTTATTGCATTGTTGTATGAGTTTGACATTAATTTACAACAAACACAAAAAAAAATTAATTTAGAAATTAAAATAAGTATAGAAGGATTTAATATTCAATAACCAACAGAGAATTTCTTTGGTTTAATCAATATATTTTTTAATCATATTTTTTTCTGAATATAGAAATGAATGCCAGCAATCTACAACCTATAAAATATCATAGAATTTACCTATCAAAGAATTATATTTATAGGCTGTCTTCTGAAACATCGAATATACACCCGGATTAGAACTTTGGAAGGTTTCTTAGATTCTTCCACCATTTCTTCTCCAGATTCAGTTTCTAAGAAATAATGGTCTGTTGATTTTCTTGACTCGTACTTCTGTTTTCTTCGTAATCTTTCACTACAGATCATCGTGGGAAAAAAAAAAAAAAAGCTTTCCTGGNATGGAAAAAAAAAAAAAAAAAAGCTTTCCTGGCAGGGGCGTGACATAGTCGAATTTTGTTTAAATATTTACCATGTTGTGTGGTACAGATTGAGACGATGGATGCACAGAGAGTAGTGCTGATCTTAACATCCATAGATATAAGTTGGAGTGCAATTAAATGGGCGGTAATGGATGGATTATCCCCAGACTCCGGGGATGAGCTCACAGTTTTGGGAGTCCTTCGCTTGATCAATCCTCGTCACGATCTTTTGCATGGAGCTGCAAAACTTTGTAAGTATAGTTACAAGTAGTTTTTTCGTTGTTAAAAATGAAATTTCTTGAATATATCGAGTCTTTCACGAGTTCTTGGTCCATCTAGAATGGCGCATCGTTTTGCACTGGTATGTCTGCGACCCTGTGCTTCTAGCCTGCACGGGGTAGTGGTTTGGTGATTGTCTTTGACCCATCGTGTCAACTCAATTTACGCCTCTAGTTGGAAATAGTTTAGGACTTGTGGTTCCATCTTAAAAAGTTAATCTTATCAAGAGCACTTGGCTAAGTCCTTATATTTGGTCTATATTTTGGTATTTAGTAGACATGAGATTTATCTCTTAACATGCACCCACAAGATGATGGATCATTTGAACTGCTCGATTTTGAGTCTTAATCCGATCATATTTTTCGTTGAAACGTAATGAGCCCTGATATCATATGATGTTCCATCTTAAAAGATCCTTAGTAATAGGCGTAGTCGAATGTTAGTCTATATCTCGGTAATATAGGATTTATCCCTCAATAGTAACAAATTTGGGTGTGATGTCAACATTTTTGTAGTGCGATTCAAGGGTAAAGGTGATTCCAACGAGATTTTTGCATCAAATAAGGAACATATGGAGGAAGAGATTAGAATGAGAAGGGATGAGTTGCAGAAAAACGATGGAATAATTCAACTGCAGAAACTGTGCGAAACAGAAAAGAAGGTTATACTCTAAATCCGTGGATAATAAAAATGATTTATGACTTAACCTATCTTAAAATGTTTTCCTTTTTACTAAATGAATTTATGTTAATCTTAAAAACAGTTAAAACAAGTACTTCAATTATGTTTATTTCAAGTACTATACTGCACTAGAAATTATTGATAAATTGATTATGTAAACGTGTTAGCATCTATGTTATGATATGACGCAGAGCAAAACAAGGGATTTAAGGAAAAACCTTAAGAACACAATTTTTGGAATCCATCAAATTATGAAAAAAAAATAAACTCACGAAATTTTATTAATGTAATATGTCTAAAAACGAACGATTAACCATTTATTTATAAGGGTTTACAAGAAATTATTTAAATTTTCCTGATTTTAATTTTTGAATTCGAAACAAACTAAATGACAAAAATAGCACTAAAATTTTAAAAGCATTTTTCGAGTCTTAAACAAACTCGAATGACTAAAATACATCATATGTCACAATGTTGTGAATTTATTCGGACTCTTAGATATTAAGGGATTAGAGTTGAAACGTCAAATCAGTAGTTTCCTATTTTTATTGTTTTTCCCATTTTCAGTACAATTGTTCCTCAATCAATTCAGCTATCCGTTCTACATCACAATACATTTAGTTGAATTCTATAACAAAAAATGAAGAAGTTAAAATCAAGTTCATTGTTTGGTACTGAAATAGGCATATAAATAATTGTTCGGGAAAACTGGAGTTGTGGCCCGAACCTTCAATATGTGGCGCCCAAGTCCTTAACCTATTAAAAGTATGCGACCGAAAGGGTATTGAAGGAAAATGTTTAATTTGACTATAAAAAAGGGAGTCGTTATTTTCATCAGAAGGTAAAATATTAGACTACATATTATGAGACTCTTTGCCCTGAGTTTCAATTTTCTCAATTTTTTTTTTTTTTTTGTTCTTCAACCTTTATAAATTGGATTTGTTTCTTGTAGCATTTTTAATTATGTTTTTTTATTTTAAATATTTTAGGTAAAGATGAATCTAGAGGTGGAAGCTGGGCCATCCCGGAAGGCGGCCGCTGTTAGAGGCGCCAAAAAGTTGGGAGCCACATGGATTATACTTGATAGGTTAGGAAACAACACAAACTTTATAACATTTCTTAATCTTGAATCCTTGATCAATTTTCAGTAATAATAAATCATTTGTAATGGTGCTTAAAAGTTACTTTTTTTTTCGAAAAACGATGTTAATATTTTGAATTATGTTTCTTAAAACTAGAAACTTAAAAATAAGTTTCATTTACTTTTAAACACCTAATCAGTCTCAAATGTGTACTCAACCTACGAAATGGGGGTTCAAAATAGAGATGCATATGCATTACATGATGGAATTTAAAACTTCGTAAATCTTGATTTAGAAAATTCAAAAACTTTATTGCCAGCATCCTTCGTGTCATCAGGAGAATTATAAGTGCGGAACATACCTTCATCCATTATTTTGAATCTTGAATATCAACTACGAGTTCTTGATTTTGGCTTCTTAATCTTTAATCTTGATCAATGCTTCTTGATTCTTGATTTGTTGGGGTTCTTGATCTTCCTTTTCAATAAACATTTCTTTAATATTCTTGTATTGATGGGATAACACAAATTATGAGAATCACATATGAATTGAGGATCATAACTTCATTTATATTTTTTCATATGTATTCCGACCATCATAAAATACATCCCTAAAAGAATCGAGTATCTACACATATTGTTCATACTGTATTTGGATGCCCAAAGTCTATAACTTTAATTATTTATTAGATCATTTTAATTTGACCGAATCTTAAGATAACCTTTATAAACAATTAATTACGTATGTAGATCCACGTGACAAATTTAAAACCCAACATTACAAAGATGTTCTCTATTCATTTACATTTCATCGAGAAAGATATTTAAGACTATAGAATGTCCCATTTTATTAGCAAGTCTCTTTGAAGTACTCATTATAGATGAAATATACTGCAAGAGAGTTCATTTTCTTTTCTTGTGAGGAAATAAGCTTATAAGATTTCACCTCCAAACATTTTTCTTACATTGCAGGGAGTTGAAGAAAGACAAGCAATACTTTATGGACAGGCTCTCGTGTGGCATATCGAGTATGAAGAGTAACAACACCGTTGTAGTAGTCAGAGGTCCAATTCAAAAACACGTTTCATATGACGAAATGATACCAACATACTCGTTGGAAGAACTTTCTCCTTCAGAACAGAGTATGCCCAGAGGTCAAATTCGAGAACATGGAACATGGGAGGAAGATATACCATCATACTTGAGGGAAAAACATTCTCCTTCGCGGCAGAGTAAGTAACTTCATTTTTACCACTAGTCTTCAATGGATTGAGTCGGCATAGTATGCAGTCTTCTGATGAAGACAGCATTATTACTATGCATCTCTGTAGCCTTCAATCAGTTCCGCGCATTCTGCTAGATTTTTATGCGTAACTTAACCTTCAGATGCCTTGGATAAAATATAATATTTTTCCTGTTTTATTTGCTATAAGTAAGATTCAGGAATTATTTTTTATGGTCAAACTAAAATTTCTCAATGAGGTTTGATATCACTATTTTGTCATGATGCCTTGTTTGAATATTTCTGTTTTTTCTTTGTTTTTGGACATTGCTGAGATTTTTTAACTGAAATATGGTATGCCTTCTCCTCCACGATCCCTTTCCCAGTTGAAGGAAAAGGAGAGAGAATGATAAGAATTTACATCCGCGTATTAATACATGGTATTGCAGAATCTCCAGCAATTCAAAAGGCTAGCTCATGTAAAGAACAAGCTCATAACAGATGTGGTAGGCCCTTTCGGGTTAATTCCAAAGTATTAGCCTCGACTGCTGGTATTATAGAGACAGGACAGTCTGAAGTGGATATTCAGGAGATAGAGAACATTATGACAACCAAACAAGTATCTGAAGAAAACTCTAATCATCGTACTTTCAAATATCCAAATATGGGCCAAAATGAAGTTCTTAGTACAAAATATAGTAAACGAGAGCAAAAGAAACAGAACAATGGGGAAGCTAATGAAACTAAGACACAAAAAGAAGAGGAATTTGAAACTATTTGTTCAGTTTGTGGAAACAAGCGACCTAAGCTTGGTATGCAAAGGGACTTCACTTGTGAAGAGCTTTATGAAGCTACAGGAGGGTTCTCAGGTAAAAAATTGTTATCAGAAGGTGGATTTGGTCTTGTGTTTGAAGGAGAGTTGGAAAATGGACTAAAAATAGCTGTTAAGCAACACAAAGCTGCCAGTCTTCAGGGAGAGAAAGAATTCAAATCTGAAGTTCGTGTACTTAGCCAAGCTAGACATCAAAATGTAGTCATGCTATTGGGCTCTTGTTCGAAAGGAAGCCAGAGGTTACTTGTTTATGAATATGTCTGCAATGGCTCACTGGAAAAACACTTGTCAGGTAAAAAGTCTTTGAGCTGCTACTGCTTCTGTTCTCTTTTAATACTCTTAATGATACAAGGGATGGCCTCTTTTTTAAAAAATATTACTGTATGTGGTTGGATGAACATTTATTTTTTCACACAATAGATTTTTGATGATACGGTGCAAGGACTAAGGAGGATCCACTATAGTGTACTGGAAAAATGCTCTTAGTTGAAACAGAAAATCAGAACTGAGGATTACATTTATCCAATGTACAGGTGACAGTGAGATGCCTCCTCTCAACTGGGAAAATAGAATAAAAATAGCACTGGGAGCTGCCAAAGGCTTAGCATATCTGCATGCCCGCAACATCGTCCACAGAGATATGAGACCAAGCAATATTCTCATTACACATGACCATGAGTCACGGGTACGATTAGGATTTTAGTAAAAGTTTACATATCAATCAATTCAAGGGAAACCAAGCTTGTCAAGTTCTGATGGTTCCATTCTAGTAAAATGAATTTGAAATTCCTGGTGGTTTGCTCTGAGATATATAACCCCATTGTGCTAAAATTCCAAATAACACCTTTGAGGTAATGTATTCCAGAGTAAAACTTCAAGGTGTAGAAATGTTACCATAATAAGCATCTATAATTCAGAACAGGATGCATAAATTGTGTGTTAACCATGCCGTGATAGTGTCAATTATTTTTATTCTCACTATAAAAAACAATCCTTTTCACCCAAATAGTGAATTTTTCTTTTTTAACAGCTGGGAGATTTTGGTCTTGCAAAAGCACAAGAAGATGATTCAGTTACCTCAGATAGTGGCATGGTTGGCACTCTTGGGTACATGGCACCAGAATATGCAGAACATGGGAAAATGTCAACAAAGACAGATGTCTATTCATTTGGCATGGTTATGTTGCAGCTTATCACCGGACTAAGGACAACAGATAAGATTCCAGAAGGGAAAAGTCTTGTTGGATGGGTACATCTTTCACATGGCATTATTTTTTTATTTTTTATTTTTGTTATTTTATAGAAATGTTGGATCAATTCTTATAAGCTAGTGATTAGTTGATTGCATTGTATCTCTGCTGTGATGAAACCTTTCTTAACCTCTGCATAACCTTTAAAAATTCTCACTTGAGATTATAATTCTGACAGGCAAAACCACTTCTGGAAACGAAAAACTATCCAGACCTCATTGATAAAAGAATTGCAGACTCCCATGATGTCCACCAACTACTCTGGATGGTACGAGTCGCTGAATCTTGTCTGAAAAAGGATCCTAATGTAAGGTGTACAATGGAACAGGTATGTTAATCAATTTTGAAACATTTCGACTGGAATATCATAACTACTTCATCAAGGCACAAATATATGTGATTCTGAAGATCAAGTGCTACTCCTGTTTTTAAATTTTATGATTTCATAAAATATAATGCGCCTTTTATCAATGTGAGGTAACATACTGCTCATGGGAAGCCAAACCTTTTATACTCGAATAAAATTGATAAAGTTCATGGGAGTTAGAGTTTAGGAGTCTTCTTGAAAGTTAGAACTGTCTGGTCCATATCCATGCTAAATTACTTTACATGATCATTTACTATTCAATGCCACTCTGTTCTCGCTGATTCTTGAATTGTATATATACTAAAGATTTATAGGAGTTGGATATTCAGCAAAATTATTGATGATGATTACAGTCATTCAATTCTGATTACCTGACTAGGATTAACAACATTGATGTTTAACATTGGCAACTTGGATTGCATCTTTGTTAATGTTTGGGTCAATGATTGAAAAATAAAAGCAGAAAGATGAAGCCACAAAAATCTATATGCTGCCTATATCTATACATAAATGAGATTCAATGTAAGAAAAATTTGGCTCTTTTTTCTGGAGTTGCAACTATCTAGTGCAAAAATTTAGCTTCTAAGTAAATCACAATATAAAAGTTGGCTTACAAAGTTGATCGTGATACAATTGAAGCCTCAGTGAGCTAGATTTTTCTGATATAAACTCCATAGTATATGAGAAATTAGGTTTATCTAAGACACAGAACTACTAGTTGGTAGTGCCTGGCTCGTCCGACTTGTGCATAAATCTTAATGAAACTAAATTGGCATATTTGAACTTTGATGGACTTCTTTAGGAGGCAAAACTTGATTGACATCCAGCGTGATTATTGGAAACATGGTGAAGTGATTGTTAAACTTTGTGTTTTTCATGAAATACAGGTCTATGCATGTATGTAACAACAGTTACAAAATCCGTAGTTCATTTATTATTAAGGTTTAGGAGAATGAAACTTGTTAAAACAACATACATCGTAGAAATATAGTTGTAGAATACGAACCTAATAGAAATGTATACATTGCCTCCTACAATTGGAGATTCTGAGAAAACAAATATGTTACGTCCCATAGGGGCTATGATTTGCGATACCATTGTTTCTGGTAAGAAAGTTCCTATAAGAATAGGAAATGTTCTAATACACGAAAAATCTTGGTAGAAAGTCGAGAGAGAGGGTGACGGTAATCCTACAAATATTCCCAGAAAACCTTTAGACTCAAGGATTGATATGACTACATGTTGAATATAGTTGACATTCTTTCATATTTTATAACTTAAGTCTTAAGTTTAAGTTACTTTTGTTTTATTTGGCAAGATATTTTATAACTTAAGTCTTAAGTATCTTAAGTCTTGAGTTAAGTGTTCAAATTGATAACTTCAACCTTTGTAAAAGTTATCATAGTTAGATCTTTTTATTGACGGTTTGTTAGCTTAAGGAGGTGGAAACATGAATACCTCAAGTATTGTATGAAAAAAATAGCTTCAATCTTCAATCTCAATCTTGTATCAAAACCGAGAATTCTGTTATTTGTAAAAAATATCCGATAAATTGAGTGAATATTCGGTGAGTTGAACTAAACAGTTAGGAATGTTAGATTATTTCAAATCCGGTGAGTTCCACTCTTTGGTTAAAAACTTCCAATAGTATGCCTTGATTTGCCTTCACGACCTCGCCTCCTGGTACTTGAATATAGGGGCTTTCGACTGTTGGATCCTTCATGTACCCTACCTTGTTGATCTCGTAGTTTCACCATCCTTGTGATTTTGCAACATTTATCTGTGTAATGATCTCTACTACAATAAAATTTACAAAATTTTAACTTACAATTATCACAAGACGGAGGTGCTTCAAATGCTACTTGAGAGGGAGCTGGAGAGTTCGCGTGTACTTTCCTTCGTGATCACTCGGTCCAATATGTTGAGGCCTTTGCTTTGAGAACTCACCCTTGTTGTACCTTTTTTCGATTTTCAATTGTATCCTCAATCTGGATCTCGTTTTGAATCAAACTTACCAGTTGATGGTAAGAGGTTGGATTTTTGTTATGGACATCCCTCTAGAATGGAGTCTCCATAAGTAATCCAATTTCTACAACCTAGTAGGTCGATCTTCATATTCCTCATCCTAAGGAATGTTATATAGGTATTGAAGAGACTTTACACACGCCGGCCATCACGATGGCTATTCCTCATATCCTAAGTGGTAACCTCTTCCAGAAACATTTCCTTAGTAGACATATTCCTGTGATGCCACTTAAGGGGCCTTTCTAGTCTATTTTTTCATAGGTTTTTGAGCCTGTATACTGGTGTTGTCATGAAAATCACTATTGACAGGATTAGTTTCATTATCTTCCATCTTCTTCTACATAGCCTTTTTGTAGTATTCTCTATCTTCGCCCATAGAGAAGCATTCTTTGCAATCCTTGCTTTCAAACTATTTGACATCACTTGAATAGTTCTTACATTGGACAATTTCTTTTGCAAGCGACAATGATGTGCGGGAGAAAATGTCGGCATGGTTTTCTGCCGATGTTTCCTCTCTCGGCCTCTTAGGATTGAGATAGTACACGGTTGTTGAATTCTTTGATTTCCACCTCTGATGGTTTTATCTCCTCTGGTTTCTCTTCAGTTTTATTCATGACCTCGAATTTTCAGAGAATTCGGACTTTTTCATGACGTAATCAGATTTCACTTCATCCAATTTTTCCACAGACGACGCCAATTTATTGATGATACAAATTAGATCAACAAATCATACCGACATAGTTACAATTTTCACTTCCTAAACTTGCTAATTTGGATTCTTCAACATGAGCAAGAAGTAAAATAGCTATTTCAGATGGAGATATTTTAATTGCATGCCTTTTTCTTATAATGAGAGAGTATTTATAGATTTCCCTTCAAACATTGGGATAATTTGGTCATTTTGATAGAATGATAAATGGTGTTTCCTTATTGGCTATTTCTAACTGATTCTGTTACGAATCACACTTTACTCGTTTGTCTACGTGCCCTCTATTGATAGCCTACGGCTAGCCCAAATACGAAAAATGGTTTGTAATCTTTAGGCGAGCTTTTTGTTCCATTCTCCTCGCGCATCACTATACATTTCGCCTAACAACTAGCTAGGTTCGCGAGAGTTAACAACAATACATAATTGAAATTTGTTTACTGTCTTGAGTAAATGAATTAATATGGAAATCTTTCTAGAAACAAATCACCTCAAACCATAATATAAGTACATGAGGAAATTTTTTAAGGACCAAACTAGTGATAGGAAATGAAAACTAGTTTTCATTCATAAAATTTTTACGAAAGATTTTTTTCTTTCTTTAGTCAATGTTTCACAATACAAGATACTCTGTTAAAATGAAGACCTTATCCTTCCTTTATTTTCATATTTTTATCTCAAAAAATGTGTTCATATGTACGAGTAAAACAGAATGCATGTATACATAAGAATGCGTTTAGCATCTAGTTAACGAGTTGTCGTAGTATATCGGCAGGGGTGGAGCCCAGAATTAATGTTATAGGGGGTAAGAAATTTTATAAACTTAATGTACGAATAAAATTTATATTTAATGAAAGAAGTCATAATGTACCATCTATTACAATTGCACCTCGACGATGTTTTACAACATAAAATTCATCTATAATAGAATCTAAATCTAAATTAATAGTAAATTCTCATTCAATGTAAAGTATCATACAACCAGCAAGAAAACCATCATCCATTTTGTTATGAATTTCTATCTTCACATATTTCATTACTGAAAATCTCACTCTACAATCACCATTGAAATAGTAATGTCAATACCAAAAAAATAAATTTAGTCAAAATAATGTAACTCTCGACCTTCTACTTGCAACTAATTTCCAACATAAATCTAAAAGTGTAAGTACTTAAAATTGAGGTTCATAAATCACATTATTCTCATAATGTTGCAACTCAATTTTCAAATAATAAATATCTTGCCGTGTACAATTTTGATGATAAAACTTCTCTACAAGTTTGCAAATATTATCCATGTTAAATGATTTAAAAGAATTTTTTGAATCCAAAGCTGCACTGAGATAAATGAGTTCTAGTGATATCTCTTTAAATCTTGTATTTAACTCTGTCATCTGAAAATCTATGGCTTTGTTGAAAATATCATTTTTTGAGTTCTTGAAGAAATTCTTCTCAGCCATTTTTTCCCAATGCTTAAAGGATGGTTTTTGTAGTATGGACAAATCTTATAGCAGTTAAGATATCTTGAGCTTTTTGCTGAAGAGCCTGACAAAAACACATCCATAATTGCCAACATTCTACTCATTAAATGTAAGATAAATACAAATTCAAAAGTTGTCATATTTTTGTATACACCACCAACTTCAGCCTAAGATCTTATATTTGGAGAATGATCA